AGCATGCTGAGCACCTTCGACTTGTGCTAAATAAATTGAGGGAAGCAAAACTTAAGATAAACCCAAAGAAGTGTGAATGGGCTAAGCGTCAGGTGCTATACCTAGGACATGTGATTGATGGAGATGGGGTCAAACCGGAAGATGCCAAGATAGCAGCAATCAGAGATTGGCCGAACCCCCGCACCTTGACTGAGTTGCGGTCGTTCCTTGGGTTAGCCAACTACTATCGAAAGTTTGTAAGACACTTTACGATATTAGTTACTCCCCTTCGTCGATTGCTTAAGAAGGAAGTAATTTGGAAGTGGGATTCAGATTGCACTATGTCTTTCAAGCGTCTGAAGAGGTGTTTGATCAATTATCCGGTTTTGAAAGTGGCGGACCCTTCATTACCTTTTGTAGTCACGACCGACGCTAGTCAATATGGTATAGGTGCTGTACTCCAACAAGATGGGCATGGGTACAGACCTGTAGAGTTTATGTCTTGCCGCTTACCTAACGAGAAGGTGGCCGCTTCAACGTATGAACGAGAGTTGTATGCTTTGCGTGAGGCTCTCAATCATTGGCGACACTACCTTCTAGGGAGGCATTTTTTTTTTTTTTTTTTTGCCGTTTGTTTCGCAAATTGTGCTCTTTTAGTTCATAGTTATGTGTATTATATATATCATCAAACAGAGCTTCCTGATAAACCGTAGGCAGAGAGGGAGAAGAGGACAACAAACGAGGGGCTGTAACAAACTGTTCTAAAAGGGCCTTTACCCAATATAGGCCTCAGGCCTTGTAAAAATAAAGCAGCACGGGCCTTGAAAAAGTAAAGCATTGTGAAAAGGTATCTCGCCAGAGCTCAGAAACGTGAAAGCAGGTCAAAGGTCAAGTTCTCTATCAACATGCATATCTAAAGCTAAGGCAAAGGGCATTGTCAAAAGACTTACCTGTTCACGAGAAGATGTGTATGTCATGTCTGTTCGGGTAAGAGTGTGTCTCTACGTGCAGGCAGTGTACCTGTTCGTGCAAAGTAAAGTGCCTGCTCAAGCAGTAAATGTGTCTGTTCGTTGAGAGTTGTGCCTGTCTGAAAGTAAAGTCAATAGGCACAGTCCCAGTTCTGGTCTAAGTCCAGGAGTCAGTCCAGATCCAGACTTTCAAATCCAAATTCAGGCCGGGAGGCCTCAGCAGCAGTTGAACTTCATTGGGACTCTACTGGGACACATGCAATGCAGGGTCTGGGACAAAAGGAAGGCTGGATTGAGCCAATACAGACCCAGCGAGGAGTATAAAGGAGGCAGCCAGCCTCATTCCTCGCCAGATCTCCACTGGCATTCTATGCGTGGAAGTGCTGGTGCACTTGTGCGTTGAGCCAGTAGGAGCAGCGCTGGAAGGAGAAGATGCGCTGAGTGAAGGGAGAAACTTGCATGCTGGAAGTGTTGCAGCCATAGCTGCCCAGCAAGTTAGTATTAGTACTAGAGGGTTAGTAGTGGTTAGCTATGAGTAGTATCCAGAGTAGATCCTCATGAGTGAAGAGTGTGTATGCATCGTAGGAGGAAGGGACTGAGGCTGAAAGTGTTCATTCAAGGTTCGGCTATGGAAGATACTTACCTGGGTTAGATGTGACTTGCAGAGGTGGCGCTGATGAGTGGTGACCACATTGATGACTTGGAGGTTATCTGCAGGAGTAGCGCTGATTCACGGAAAGTCATATTGATGAGCTGACAAGAGATTGGGGTTGCGCTGATGAGCGCTGGATTCAGGGGAACTTTGAAACACTTTGTATTCATAATTCTGATAATATAAGTTGTGAAACTCGGTCCTCTTCTTCTCTACCTTTGTCTATGGTTGAGACTATTGATCACTGCGTGTGAAGATGAT